TGCAGGTTTTGAATTGTTTCCAATGCTGTATCAATCTTATTTGATTTCTCCTGTAGTACTTTCCTGACTTCTTGTTTTCCTCCACCCCTTTTCAGAGCAGTTGAATTTGTTTTCATATCATTTTTCTAAATTCTTTCTCAGACATATCCGAAACCTGCTCTTTTTCCTCTATAAAGCCTTTGTCTGTCTCCAGCTCATTTGCATCAACTACTCTCTTTTGTTTTGGGGCATGTTTCGATGAGGTTTGTTGCTTTTTATTTGGCATTATTATTATTACTATTATTATTAAGCTTAAGTGAATGCTTGAATAATTTGTTGTTTGTTTACTGGGTGTCTCCTGGTGAATGTGATCAGGAGATAGTCTTCCCTTTTCTCATGTAATGCTTAGCGGGTGTTGTTGGGTCCTGTCTCAGAGGTGGAATATTATGGGGCATGATTATAGCTTGGTTATATGGCCACGATTGCTGTCTCTTCTTGGGTAACAGAGAGAAAAGGCTCCCACCCCCAGGAAAGATGTGTGATCAAAAGGACCAAAAGCAGAAGTAATATAAATGCACAGACAAAAAGCACCACTTTAGAACAGAAATGAAGTTGTGGTCGACTGTCCCAAACTACATGGTCAGTTTGTGTGTAATCAGAAGCCTCCATCAGGGGGTGGGGGTGACCATTCTCTCCGGCCCCTCCTCTAGTCACTATAGTAGATGTGCACAGGTAGATATTGGGGAGCTAATGGGAGAACAATTGTCCACTATTTTTGTCTCTGAAAGTCAGTTAGGTATCTGCTTGTGCACAGCGCAAATTCTCGGTATGGTTGAGACCTCTTATGCTGGAGTTTTACAGATTGCTTTGAATTGGGTCTGAGCAGGGAGCTCTAGCAGAGCAGCAGCCGTGGACCGGAAGGACAGCAGCCCAAAACCCCAAGCCACTACTCAGGAGAAAGGCGAGGCGCTTCGCTCCTGCTCAGACTCATAGCCTCAGAACCCTGCACAGGGTCGCCTGCAGTGGGAACTTACTCTACAGTGGACTGATGTGAGGAGTCCATCTGTGAAAATTTTTGGATCTGTGACTCTGCGGTTGACATTTTAAGTTGCTGCCAAGCTCCTCTCTCTGTACAGTGGGAAAACTGCCCCACCTGATGTCCGGGCTGAGCAATGAAGTTGGGAGATGGAGAGAGAGAGGGAGAAATATGTAGTCTCCCGTGTCTCTTTTTTTTGCAGATGCTTCTGCACCATTTTAGCGGCGTTTTCTGAGCCAGACTGGGTTTAGCCCCACCCTCTAAACTCTGCCAGGGCGGGGTAGTTGCTAGCGAGTCCCCTCTCCAGATTCCTAACTCACCTGTATTTTCCTTAATATCATGGTTTTTTTCAATTGCGAGTGCAGGAAACTGACATCCTGGATCTTATGGTAGATCTGGAGCTCTGGAGTTGTTCTATGAGCGCTTTCTTTGTGAGATCCCCTTCCTTTCTCACCGGAGCATACCCTACCTGGTTTTCGAGGTTATATCCCCAACTGGAAGTCCCATTAGCTTTTAATTCCATTTGTCCACAAACTTTTTTAAGCCCCTTGTATACTTACCAATCTATAAGGTAAGATTTCCTAGGCACATCTATGTCTGAATTTATTCATCTATTTCTAGTACTATATGTGTTCCAAAAAACAATTCACACTTATTGCTATTGAATTGATTACAATTCATGGTGACCCCCGCGTTACAGAATAGAACCGCTCCATAGGGTTTTCTTGGCTATAATCTTTAAGGAAGCAGATCACCAGGCCTTTCTTCTGTCGTGAAGTTGGGAAGGTTTAAGTCACCAAACTTTAGGTTAACAGCTAAGCACAAGAACCTAGATGTTTTACATAATTCTTAAACAATATCAAGAATATTAAATTCTCATTTGTTGAAAAAAAAGACCAATAATCTAAGAAATATGTATAAATGCCATTATTAAACATTTTACCTGAAATGTAAGGATGTTAAATTAATAAAAAATAAATCATTAAAAAATATTACTTTCTATTCTTTCAATTCTCTAAATTCAGGTGGGATATATTCAAGGTCATATTTTGGCTCTCGTGGACTTGTTTTCATTTTCTTCAGCTTCAGTTTGAATTTACATATGAGTAATTGATGGTCTGTTCCACAGTGTGCCCCTGGCCTTGTTTTGACTGATGTTATGGAGCTTTTCCATAGTCTCTTTCCACAGATGCAGGCATTTGATTTCTGTGTATTCCATCTGCTGAGGTCCATGTGTATAATCATCTCTTATGCTGTCTAAAGAAGGTATTTGAAATGAACAAATCATTGATTTTCACAGAATTCTATCATGCGATCTCCAGCATCATTTCTATCACCAAGGCCATATTTTCCAACTACTGATCCTTCCTCTTTTCTCCCAACCTTTGTATTCCAATAACCAGTAAAGACTAATACATCTTGATTGCATGTTTGATCAATTTCAGATTGAAGAAGTTGATAGAATTCTATTTCATCCTCACTGGATTTAGAATTTATTATTCATAAATTTGAATAATAGTGGTATTAACTCATCTTCCCTGTAGGTGCATGGATGTTATCCTAACACAGACAGCATTGTACCTCATGACTGATCTGGATATGTTCTTTTTGACAATGAAGGCAACACCATTCCTCTTCAATTTGTCATTCCCAGAATAGTAAACCATGTGGTTGTCAGATTCAAAATGGCCAATATCAGTCCATTTCAGCTCACTAATGCCTAAAATATCGATGTTTATGCGTTGCATTTCATTTTTGACAATTTCTAATTTTTTTAGATTCACACTTGGTACATTCCATGTTCTGATTGTTAATGGATGTTTACAGCTGTTTCTCTTCATTTTGAGTTGTGCCCCATCAGCAAATGAAGGTCCTGCGGGCTTTTCTCCAACAGGCTTTACTCCATTAGTGTCATCACGGTCCACTCTACTTTGAGGAGGCAGCTCTTCTCCAGTCACATTTTGAGTGCCTTCCAACCTGAGGGGCTCATTTTCTGGCACTATATTTGACAGTGTTTCTCTGCTACTCATAAGGTTTTCAGTGACTAAATAGTCGGAAGTAGTTCATCACTCCAAGGACTTAAAATATTTACTGATGAAGAATCAAAGAGTACAGCCTTTGGTATGGATTACATCTCAATGTAATGAAAACAAAAATCCTCACCACTGGACCAATAAACAATATTCTTATTAATGGAGAAAAGATTGAAGTAGTCAAGGACTTCATTCTTCTTGGATCAATTATCAACACTAATGGAAGCAGCAGTCCATAAAGCAAACAACGTATTTCATTAGGCAAATCTGCTGCATGAGACCTTTTGGAAAGTGCTGAAGAGCAAAGATGTCAGCTTGAGAACTAAGGTGAGCCTGACCCAAGTCACAGTATTTTCAATAACCTCATATGCATGCAAAAGCTGGACAGTGAATAAGGAAGACCTTAGAAGAATTGATGCTTTTGAGTCATGGTGTTGGAGGAGAATACTGAAAGTGCCATAGGCTGTGAAAAGAAGGAAGAAGTGCAGCCAGAGTGCTCCTTGGAGGCCAGGATGGCCAAACTTCATCTCCTATACTTTGAACATATTGTCAGGAGGGACCAGTCGCTGGAGAAGGATATCATGTTTGGGAAGGTGGAGGGTCAGAGAAAAAGAGGAAGACCCCCACCCTAGCGAGATGGATTGGCAAAGTCGCAGCATCAATGGGCTTAAGCGTGGCAACAAATGTGATGTTGGCCCAGGATCGGGCAGTGTTTCGTTCTGTTGTGCATAAGGTCGCTGAGTCAGTATCAACTCATAACAACAACAACTAATAACAACAACAACTCTTTCAATTAAGTAGCTCTGGTAGTATAGTGGTTATGAGTCGGGCTGTTAACCTCAAGGTCAGCAGTTCAAAATGACATGCTATTCTACAGGAGAAAGGTGAGGCTTTCTGCTCCTTTTAAATTTTACGGTTCCCTATATAGGGTCACTATGAGTTGAACCAACTCCCCAGCACACCAATACCACCACTCTTTTAATTAACTCAAACTAACAACTTTTAGGTTGAAATCTGTTCATTATAAACTGTTGTTGATAAGTACTGTCGAATCAGTTCCAACTCATAGATACACTATACAGGGTTTCTAAGGAGCAACTGGTGGGTTTAAACTGCCAACCTTGTGGTTTGCAGTCAGCGTACTAATCCTATAGCAACACACCAGGAGTCCAACATAGCTGGAGGCACTGGGGAATGTACCTGTGACTTTGTTCATGTGAAGCACATGCTCTACCACTGAGATACACCCCAAAGTGGTAAACTAGCAGGTAAAAATTCCTGTATAAAGAATACCTCAAAAAAGAACCTCAACATGCATATTTATATGTACACGCAAACTCTCTTTTAAAAAAATCCAATTAAAATTTTTGTTGAGTAGCTCTTAGAGATTTAAATAAAATCTATTAAGTATTGGCACTGTGAGCTAACACGCTGGACTGCAGAGTTGGTTTAAACCACAAGTTCAGTGGCTCATGCTTACCAGCTGCTCCTTGGAAACCCTTTACAGAGTTGCTATAGGTTGGAACTGACTCAATGGCACTTACCAACAACAAATTCTCCCCTAGTTATTGAAAAAAAAAGTTGTTGTGTAATCAGTCATATGTTCAACAGCAATCTCTTACTAGTTCAAATATCTACTATTACAACATTCAAAACCTGAGAGCCACTCAGACTTTGAACTGCAGAGGGCTCCATTAAGAAGCTATCTGTCACCTAGAAATCAGCAAGGGCATACTATGACCCAACACATCTGTACCTAAACTGTACTTAAATATGTCTCTTCTTTCACTAAGTCCTCTAAGCATTATACTTTTCATTTTTCTCCCAAACTAAAGACTTGAACATATCTGCTATTACCCAATATATACATACAGATTAAACAGAAGAAATCAATTACTCTTGTTTTTGTCTTAAAATGTGAAGTAAAGCAGCAGTTACACATACTCACACACATTAGGGGCTCCTCAGTCATCCTCCCCAAATACTTCTTTTGTTGTTGATCATTTCCAGCAATTATAACAGGCATTTGCTATCAAAGAAAATTGATATTGAAGAAAAAGCAAGATATTTCAATAGATATGTAAGGTCAGATCTCAATACAAAAAAAGAAAAAAAACCCCACCCCATCCGAGAAGTCCAAAGAATTGGCTCTTACTCTGCCTTTAAGTTAGAGAGCTATAACATGAGGATATAAATTTATTAACCTAAGTATATTTATAAAACGTATAATTACATTGAAAACTTGCTGATAATATATAAACATTTACTACAGTAAAGTATAACAATACAGAAAAATTAAATATTTAGGATGGTGGTGGTGGTGGTTATGTGCCGTGGAGTCGGTTCCGACTCATAGCAACCCTGTACAGGGTTTCCAAGGCTGTAAACCTTTACAGGAGCAGAAAGCCTGATCTTTCTCCCGTGGAACCGCTGGTTGTTTCAAACTGCTGACCTTGCAGTTCGCAGCCCAATTCGTAACCACTATACTACCAGAGCTCCTTTTTCAGGATGAGTGACTTGTTATGTATAGATCAGATCTCTTATAAATAGCTAATTAAATTTCAGTACTGCCACAAATCATCCTGCTCTGTTTTTCTGAATGCTGGCTTTACACCTAACACTAATCTAAGAATTGCCACTGAAGCAACAGCCAAAGTGGTAGAGTTTCTTCTCAAGGACAGAGAAGACCGGGTACTGGAGACTGTAAGAACAGAAGGACTGAGTCTTGGTAGTGGAACACCAGGCTTCACTGCAGAATCTTATGCTTCTTTTAAAAAATTATGTTCCACCAATTTGTATTTTTACTTCCAATTTATTTAGCACTAGAAAAAAAAAAGTATATGCGTGTTCAACATGACTCAGTCAATAAACCAAGAAGATACTTAAGAGATGGAAGTTAAAAATTCACTGAGTTACCCCTCAGGATAAGCTAATCCTTTGGCAATCAATATGTGGCAAATAAAAAAATTTCTAAGGTCAAAACTATAAAATATTATAGTAACAATACATGTAGAGAAAGCTTATATAAATAAGGGTGAGTGGAGGAAAAAAATTCATTACAAACTTGGAATTATTTTATATAAAGATCTCTAACTTTTAAATGTAAGGTGATTAGAAATAAAAAGTACCATACTGAGAGTTTTTTTACTTTATAAACTTTCATAAGCATCCATTAGCTATGTGTTGTTATCAAGTGCAGTTGAATCGATTCCCACTCAGCAACCCTGAATAGCATTTCAGAGGCTGTAAATCTTTTCTGGAGCAGAAAGCCTCATCTTTCTCTCCTGGAGTGGCTGGTGGGCTTGAACCACTGACCTTGTGGTTCGTAGTCCAGTGCTAACCCTACTGAGTCACTGCACTCTCCTCTATGTATCAATATACTTCCTTCCAACATAACCTACTAGTAATTGTCTCATTACAGTTCAGTTAGGCAATAAAATGTCTAAGCAACTTACCCCCAAAGAATTTGCTTCAATAGCAGTCTGAACCCCTGTACATCCATAAGCCAATTCTTCAGTAATTAAACAGGCTTCAAAAGTTCCAAGGCCAAGACCTCCTATGGTAGTAAAATGTTTTAAGAGTCCATTACAATATATAGTGCATCTCTATGGAAATAAAGATGAATTATTTTGATTACTTTAAATATCCAATCCAATATTTAAAGTAATCAAAATAGTTTTTGCAAACTTGTAAAAACAGTATCTAGAAATCAATAAAAACAGTATCTAGAAATCAATAATAAAAAGTGTTCTGACTGTCACAGGGACAAATTATGTTTCTCTAAAATAAATTTCAAATATTTAAAAAGTTCTTACTATTTATAACATGTAACATTTCTGTTTGTAAATTCTGGGTTCAACTTGATTTTGTAAAAATTTGATTCAACTTTACTAAAACTTGGACCCTCTAGCTTGAAGAACGTGACAATCTCACAGAAAAAAGTTATCAATAAAATCTTAAAAAAAAAAGGAGTGAGAAAGAAAAGAGATTTGGAACTGGATAGTGGTGATGGCTGTGCAACATGGGTAGGGTTAACTGGTGTGGCTGGATTACTGCTGATGTTGTTAGGTATTGTTGAGTCATTACCCAGAGTGACCCTATGTATAACACAATGAAACACGGTCTGGTCTTATGCCTTCTTCACAATTGCTGCTACTCTTGAGCCCAATCCTGTTACCACTGTGACAGTCCACCTAGTTGGAGGTCTCCCTCATTTTTGCTGACTGTCCACTTTACCAAGCATGATGTCCTTCTCCACAGATTGGTCTTTCCTGATAATATGTCCAAAGTATGAGAGAAAAAGTCTGGTCATCTTAGCTTCGAAGGAACCTACTGGTTGTGCTTCTTCCAACACAGATTCTTCTCCAAAACCATACATTAAATGCATCAATAAATTCTTCTATGGCTTTCTTTATTCACTGTCCAACTTTCACATGCATATGAGGCTACTGAAAATACTACAGTTTGGGTTGGAAGCACTTTAGTTATCAAACTAACATCTTTGCTCTTGAACACTTTAAAGAGAGGTCTTGTGCAGCAGATATGGTTAATGAAATAAATACGTTGTTTGCTTTCTTTACTGCTGTTTCCATGAGTGTTGATGGTAAATCCAAAATGAAGTCTTTGACAATTTCAGTCTTTTCTCTATCATGAAGTTATTTATTGGTCCAGTGGTAAGGATTTTTGTTTTCTTTACATTGAGGTGCAACACATACAAAGGGCTGTGGTCTTTGATTGCACATGTATAAAATTGGTTAAAATGAAAAAAAACAAACTAAAATGCAGCAAAATGACTAACTTAAGTGTGAGAAGTTACCTAGGTTAAGGATCGAACTAAGGTTGGAATCAGCTGTACATAAGGAAAAATACCTCTAAATATGAGTATGAAGCATCTAAAATCAGACAAATTCTTAGTCTGAACAAGGAGACAAAGGTAGAAAGCTATTTAATGGAATCAAATATTTGAAAGACTGAGTAGAAAATTCATAATGCACCTCATTCATTTGTATTCTACGATTTAAAACCTTGAGAACGCTTACCACAACTCTCTGGAATGTGCGTATTCATCAAACCAAGTTCCCAGGCTCTTTTAATTAGGGGGACAGGGTACTTAAAAAAAAAAAAAAGAAAAAAGCCAGTTATACTTTTAGTATAATCCAGATTGTCTGATTATATGGCTTTGTAAAAATTGCAAAAGATGTTTCTTCTAAAAGTATAGAGACTTACCTCGCCAGTTTTATCATATTCTGCAGCAACAGGGATTATTTCCTCTCTGGCAAACTTTCGAGCAGTAGCCTGAAATTCTTTCTGTTGTTCAGTGAATTCTAAGGGAAAGTTTTTAGAAAATATTAAAATAGGACAATGTATTGAGGGAAAAAGTCCTATGAAATCAAAATGCACAAAAATTTATAATAGGGATGTTAACCTAAAACTATGTTACCAGACTTACCAAGATTTCATTATAATAAGTATAATATAAATGAATCTATGTCAAAACAAATGTCAAAGAGGTAAGTAAGATTTCTAGTATTTACAAATAATCAATGTATACAAACCTTAAGGGCTCACGTGAATTTTTCTTTTTCAGTTGGTGAGATAAAAAAATACATCTTTTTTTACTAGTTACAAAGCAGATTTATAAAATGGAACTAATGTACAAGACATGCCCCTAAACTAGGAAAAGGAGATACATTCCGAAACCAAAAGCAATGAAACATGTAAGACTATCAATACCAAAATTTAAATTTTACTCCTCCTTTAATTTCTATCTATAAGTTACCCTAAGGCAACTTGCAAATGTGGCTAAGGAAAGTTTCTTGAAAAGTATTAAGATAAAATTCTGCTAGAACGCTTATACATGGTATCCAAATGATTCAATTACATAAAATATGGGGTTGTGTTATAGTAAAATGAATGAAAGGAATATAATGGGATAGAATGAGGACAGGAGTTGACAATAAAATCCACCCCCTCTCAAATCTACACTATGGTGGTGGTGGTAGTGGTGGTTGTATGCTATTGAGTTGTTTCAGACTCATAGGAACTCTGTATAGGGTTTCTGATGTGGGTTTCATTGAATAGAGGAAAGAGGAAAGAATCTTAGTCCTTTACTCTCAGACATCACATGGCTCCACTGGACTGAGAACTACTAGCATTTCCGATACATTAAGGCCAAAATAGGTGTTAGAACCTATTACCAGACACCTAGCATTATACGCCTGCTGTTGTTGTTGTTGTTAAATGCCATCGAGTGAGTTCTGACTTACAGTGAACCCTGTTATAGGGTTTTCAAGGAGTAGCTGGTAAGCTTGAACCATGAACCTATCAGTTCAGACTGACTTTGTGGCAAAAGCCATAAAAATTAAGGAATAAAAATGAATAAATTGAGACATATTAATTGAGGAATTAAAATAAATAAATGAGACAACGAGGACCCTGCGCATAGAAGAATTCATTGTTTTAGCAAAGCAACAATGAACTATTTTCCTTGGATAGCAGAGCTACAAGGATTTAATATTCTATGCTCAGATCTCTAGTTAAATTTTCTCTTGTTGAATCATTTTCTGATTTATTCATGATTTTATTAGTATCCTTTTACTTTAGATTTTGACTCTCCTACACTTAAGTATATTTTTATTAAAAGTTAGAAGCCATATATATATTAGCTACATTTACACTACTTGTAATCATAGGTAGTTTTAATACTTATATTAACAATGTTCTTAAGATTGCTAGGAGACAGGATTTGTCACTTGAATTACTACCAGTTTAGGCTTAGTGATTATAAACATTCTTCCTTGTAGCCTTAGTTTAAGGCAATAAAGTATCCCTAAAAGCAACTAGGCCATAAATAAGGGCTGTGGGTACAAGAATTCCTAAAAACAATTAGACTATAGATAAAGGCTATGGGTATATAAAGATACTAAATAAAAAGTCTGACTTAGACGTTCTTAAATTAATGAACAGTAAAATAGAGAAGTTGTTTTTCATAGCCTCAGTTTTTCAAAATGTTCTGATAAGTGATGTTTTTGTAGGCTATAAACAGATAGTGTATGGAAGAAGTTAATGGAGAGTTAATTGCACCTAACAACTAAAATTAACAAGACTTAACAGGCAAAGGTTAAGAAACATATGTGAAGGTTAACTTGCTTCTCAGAGAAAATAATAGATTTATGTAGGAATAAATGTTTAACTAAAAGGTTTCAAGGTGCCAGAATGTCTCTTTGCTGTAACTTTGCATCCCTGTTGTAAATCATGAAGAATGTGCCCCAGACTTGATTGTATTTTGATGTCATTGATTACTATGAAAGCAATATTTTTTGTAATGGTATATAAGGGGGTTGTAAGAAAGAATAGAAGGAAGTAGAGAGAGAAGAGAGAAGAAGGAATATGAGGTAGGGAGAAGACTGAAAAGGAGTGCAGGAGTGAAAGAAGTAATGTAGAGACGGAAGAAAAAAATGGAGGAAGTAGGAAGAAGAAGGTAAAGAAGTAATGTAGGAGGAGGTAAGAAGGAGTAGTGTAAGAAGTAATTAATGTAGAAGGAAAAAGAGTGAAAAGAGTAATGTAGAGAATAAGAAGGAGTGTAAGAAGAAATGTAGCAGGAGGTGAGAAGGAGAATAGAGAAGGAGAATGAAGGAGAAGAAGAAGGAATAAGTGGAAGGATAATAAAGCGTGTAAGAAGAAGATTATAGAGGGAAAGCAGGAGAGGGGGAAGTAAAGAAAGTGGAAGGGCATTAAAAAAGCAAGAGGGGACTGAAAGAAAGCAGGAGCAGGGGAAGGGAGAAAAGAAGCAGAAGAGATGAGTAGGAGAGCAGGGGAGTAAAGAATGAGCAGGACAGTAAAGAATGAGAGAAGAATAAAGCATGTAATAAGATTTTTGAATTCATTATGACTTATTGACTCCATGTAATTCTTATCACTGACATCGCACCCGCCTTCAGAAAAAAACCCTGAAATAAATTTGCTGGGGCTGGGTCCCGGCAACTTTGCAGTCCAGTGCATTAACCCGCAGTGCCATAACCGGACTCCATTGTATGGCTAGGAAGTGTTTAACAATTACTAGCCTAATTCAGTTGTCTACGTTGAATTTAGTTGTCTAAGCTGGAATCTTTGTGCAGTGCTGCAGAATAATGCACTGGACCACAAGGTCGGTTTGAACTGCAGGGTCAGCGGTTCAAACTGACCAGTTGCTCCTAGGAAATCCTTTACAGTATGGCTATCAGTCAGAACCGATGGCTCTTAACAACAATAAGCTGAAGATTATCCATATAAACCATTACACTTGTCATTTATTTTGGGCTTCATACTTAGGAAGAAGGAAAGGAATATATGTATGTATGGGAATACCATCTATCTATGATAGAAAGAAATACTACCAGGAAGTGCATGGAATTAACTGTGAACAATGTGGATGGTGATTGATTCACTGACAAACATTACAAAATACATTCCACAAAAGTACATGCATAATAAGTATATGTTTAAAATAAAAGAACAGAATGTAACATATACCAAAACTAAATCCCAATCCTGATTCACGTAGTGGAGCAGCTTTTGTATGTTGGGATCTCCAGTCAAAACGAGAAACACTTCTCAGAACCTGTAAAGAACAGTTTTATTAAAATAAATTTGAAAACATGAATCAAATAAGAGACTAATGCAGTTTATTTGACTATCCTTGAGAACAGTTTTAGACATATCATTATTAAATACTTTCAACTGTAATTTGATTTCTATATTAAATAAGCCAATCATTTGAATACTTATCAGAGGAACTAGTAAGGAAAAAAAAAGTATCTAAAGTCAAACAAAATTAATCATGATAATTGCACACTATCGAAGGGAAAGATTTCCAGGATAAAATTCATCAACAGTCGACTTAGGGTCACTATTCTGGATATCTCAACAACAAGCCCCTAGGACACTGATGATTGTGGATCTGGGGTGGGTACAATTGTAGGATGGAATTGTAATGTGTTCAAGAGTTTACTAGTGAAGAACATCAGGGTCAATGGGTACAAAATAGTTCACAACACTCATGGAATGAAGCAATAAAGAAATCAAATGATATATTGCATCAGGCAAATCTGCTACACAAGACACCTTTTAAAGTTAAAGAGCAAAGATGTCAATTTGAGGACTAATGCGCACCTGACCCAAGACTCCTCTTTCTCCTGTGGAATGGCTGGTGGATTCAAACTGCTGACCTTGTGGTTAGTAGCACAATGGGAAACCACTATGGGTTATGTATCCAAGTAAAATTAGATTAACAGCAGAGAATACACTGTTTGCATGTTGTTAAGTGCTGTTGAGTCGGTTCCGACCCATAGCAACCCTGTACAGGGTTTCCGAGGCTGTAAATCTTTACGGGAGCAGAAAGCCTCATCTTTCTCCCGCGGAGTGGCTGGTAGTTTCGAACTGCTGACCTTGTGGTTCGCAGCCAGATTCGTAACAACTACGCTACCGGAGTTTGAATAGTCCATTGTAATTCACTTTGCTGTCTATGGCGATTTCATAGCTGACCATCTGGGCTACAAAGCAAAAAATATTTACTATCAAAAAGTGATTGCTAATCCTGTTATAAACCACCACTAATATACTACTTGTTGTGTTATGCTTAAGCATCTTAAATAAAGTCATATTTACTCTAAAGGATATATAAAAGCAATATAATTAGATATCTATTTAGAGGGCTTCAAAAAGGTAATGGAGTTAAAAGATAATTTAAAGCCTCTGCAGACATATTGGTCCCCTTTATAATTCATTGCTAAATTTAGGACGTTTTAAAGAACACGAAAGTAACCATCTGTACTTATTGAAAAAATGATGTCCCTAGGAAAAGCTTGAGACTGTCAAAGTTAAGCAGTTTAGGCTTCAAAGGATTTTAATGGAACTGTCCCTAGGCAATTCTGATACGCAGATACTAAAAAAAACACAGAAGTTGAACAACATGCTAAGAGATCAAAAATTGAACATGCTTTTCAGAATTTGTAAAAACAAACTGTACACTGTGTAGATAAAGATTTATCACCCACATTTCAACTGACTATAAGGAACTCGGGTAGCGTAGTGGTTACGAATCGGGCTGAAAACCACAAAGTCAACAGTTCGAAAATATCAGCTGCTCCGCGGAGAAAGATGAGGCTTTCTGCTCCTGTAAAGATTTACAGCCTCGGAAACCCTGTTCAGGGTCGCTATGAGTCGGAACCGACTCAACGGCACTTAACAACAACAACAACATAAAGAGATTATGTAATGTAGTGAATTCTTTAAAGTCTTTTCTAGTCTTATCTTTGTAACTCTCACCAAACAACTCTTCCTGATAAATCTGGGTAAGAAGTAGGTGGGAGAAAATATAGGTAGAATGGCATGATTAATCTGTGGATGCTAACAAGAGTTCATTGTAATTTATCTAACATGGGTTAATAATGAGCCTTCTCAGAAGCAGAAGGGGAGAGCTCACTACCATCAAAGAAGAGCCAGGAGTGGAGTGATCCCTATGCAATGAACCTCCTAGGCCCAGGATGGAAAACTGTGACACCAAAGGAATGGCAGAGGAGCAGCAGCAGCAGAGCCAATAACCAAAGCATGAGACCAGCCCACAGAGCAAACAAAGCTCAATGACTTGTTTGTTGAGTAGGGTGCCTACAGGCACTCAAATGGGTGAGCTAGATTTGCTGATCCAGAGCTAGAGCTGGAGGACTTCCAACTACGGCTTATGGTGGAGTGGTGTGTGGTGTGGGTATTTATCAGCAGTTGGCTGTAACAACTGTGCCCTGAGTATTTCTAACCCCGAATTGTAACATGTTAACTTCCCTAATAAACCCCATAACGCTGAGTATGGTATCTGAGTTCTGTGTGGCCACTGCAACAAATTATAGAACCTATTGAGTAAGAGGGTGGTAGCAGATGGTTTGGTGCACATTTTTGCAGATTGTCAAATAGCTTTTAATTTAAAGTACTTTCAAAATAATAGCAAACACACACTATAATTTTGAAAAAAAATATGTAAATATTTCCTTTGCAATTTTCATACAGGCATACCTCAGAGATATTGTGAGTTCTGCTCAAGATCATCACAATAAAGCAAATAACACCACATTTTTGTTTCCCAGTTCAAATAAAATTTATGTTTACACTATGCTACAGTCTATTGGGAATCCTAGATGGTGCTTGTGTTAACACACTGGACTGCAGTTGGTTTGAACTGCAAGGTCAATGGTTGAAGCTCACCAGTTGTTCCTCGGAAATCCTATACATACAAGATGGCTATGAGTCAGAACCAACTCAACAGCATTTAATAGCAACAACATAGTCTATTAAGAAACTTTGGTGGCACTGTAGGATAAGAAAGGGACTGCTAACTACAAAGTCAACAGGTCAAACCTACCAGCTGCTCTGATGGAGAAATGAGGTGTTCTACTCCTGAAAAGTTTTGCAGCCTTGGAAATGTTAAATGGGTCTTGGTGAGAGGAAATTAACTCAATGGCATTGGGTGGATAGTCTAGTAAGTGTGCAAGAACATTATAAAAAAGTTTGAAATATTGTGAAATTTACCAAAATGTAACACAAAGACATGAAGTGAGCACAATGCTGTTGAAAAACGGCCTCAACGCAGTGTTGCCAGAAACCTTCAATTTGTTTACACAGTATCTGTGAATTGCAATACGGTATGCCTCATACTTTTTATTTTGGAAAGTAAATGTGGTTTTTCTGGCTCTCATTGTCTAGTCATAACAGACCAAGTCTATTTTTGTTTACAAGCAAAGCTCATGTATTAATTCACTGAATACACAGGACAAGCCTAGGATTAAGGTACATTTTTATTCTTAGTTTACATATAAAGAAACTGAGACTCAGAAAGGTCAAATAAAATTATTCAAGGTCACAATGCTATTAGATATTCAACCCAGCTTTACAAATTTAGATTTGACTCTTGGCCCCTAGGAAAAGCTTTACACAGTCAAAATTATGCAATACTACCATCTACCTTAGCCATTTGAACTGCAAGGTCAGTGGTTCAAGCTCACCAGCTCCTCCTCGGAAACCCTATACAGGGTCGCTATGGGTTGGAACCAACTCAATGGCACTTAACAACAACAACAACCAACTACCTTGTTACACTCTTCTTTCAATTTATTTTCCTTGTTGGTCATTAGACTCTATAAAGATGATAGGAAAATCCCCCTCTAAAACCAGACCAAGAAAGTTCACTTTATTATAAATGTGTATTTAGACTCCATTGAACATAACATCAGATCTCAAAAAACAGGCAAAATAGTCTACTGGTGATGGTGGTTATGTGCGTTGGAATTGGTTCCAACTCATAGCGACCCTGTACAAGGTTTCTGAGGCTGTAAATCATTACGGGAGCAGAAAGCCTCATCTTTCTCCTGCGGAACAGCTGGTAGTTTCGAACTGCTGACCCTTTTGTTAGCAGCCTGATTTGTAACCATTATGCTACCAGAGCTCCTTAAATAGTCTACTGGGAGACTTTAAATAGGAAATTGAGTGGCTCCAAAATAATTTATAAAATATCAGTTTTCACAAATTGCCCAAGACATTTCCAGAAAACATCTACTATATAAAACAAAGTACAGTACAAAAGTGGCAGTATCCAGGGAACAATGCTTATCAATCTATTACAGAATTGTTAGGTGCCATTGAGTTGGTTCGGACTTACAGCAACCCTGTACAGTGTTTCCAAGAGCATAAATCTTTGTGGTAGCAGAAAGCCTCATCTTTCTCCCATGGAACCGCTGATAGGCTTGAACCTCCGGCCTTGTGGATCACAGTACAGTGCTGATCCCATAAAACCACTGTGTTCATTAATAACATAATGTTATCCATTTAAATAAAGAAAAGTGGTTTAGTAGAAATCGCACAGCAATAATGCTCAACTCAAGTCTATCTTTGTGAATTCCGCCAGCTTGAAATTTCTAGTAGTTTTACAAATCTGAAATCTGACTAGGTAATTTGTTGTGATGATTAAAATGAAATAATGTGAATGTTTTACATATTTTTTAGGAGTAAGAGTTTTAGTTTTATAGGAATGTCAAAGAAGAGGTGAAGGAATATGAATTTTCTGGATTAGGTTTTTCCATCATTCCTAGGAGAGATTCAGTTATCCTTTTCTCTAACGTCAATAAAAAATAATTTTAATATAACAGTTTCTGCCTTCAGAGCCCATTAACTTGTACAGCAATGAAAACAATTGGGTCACAATTCATTAGAATTATTCTAAATTCTAACTGAAATTTTTTGGTCAAGGACCTAACTTTAACTCTATTTAAGTAACATTTTAAAGGCAGTCCTGTGTAAATGTATCAATATGCATCTAGTTACTTAACTAAGTAGCGCTGCGGGTTAATGCGCTGGACTGCAAGGTAGGTTTGAACCGCAATATCGGCGGTTCAAGCTCACCAGCTACTTCTTGGAAACTCTATACAGGGTCACTATGGGTCGAAACCGACTCGATGGCACTTAACAACAACAACAAGACACAAAAGTAGCATAGATAAATATCAAGGAAAGGTCTGTGGCTTTTTTTTTTTTTTTAAATGCATGTCAACATGAAAGCATTCTTCTCCATATTACAAAATCCAAAGGGTATGAAGAATATTGTTGTTGTTAAGAACCGTTGAGGGTTGAGGGGATTTCGACTCATAGTGATCCTGTAGAGGGTTTTCAAGGAGCAGCTGGTAGGTTTAAACTGCCAAACTTGTGCTGATACTACAGCGTCATGTTGTTGTTGTTATGTGCCTTGGAGTCGGTTCCATACCAGGAGTCTATTAAGCATACGAAGTAGCCTAAAACGCCAAAGGATCCACTTTTTTTTACCCGTGAATTCACAGGCACCCAAATTAAGACTATCAGAATTCTACACTTTCTAGTATGCCTCAATTGCAGCACAGCATCTACTATACAGCTTTAAGTAAGCAGAAAGTCTTATATTTCTTCTGTGGGGCGACTGAGAGAGTCAAATTACTGACCTTGAGATTTGTAGCCCAGATCTTAATCCACTACCAGGGGTCCTTAAAGAGCTTGTTGTTGTTGTTATTAATTGCCTTCGAGTTGTCGGTTCCGACTCAAAGCGACCCCAGTATAGGGTTTCTAAGGAGTTGGTGGTGAATTTGAACC